GCCTCCGAATAACGGGCCAATATTATCGAGGTCAAACAAATGCCCTAACAGGTTCTCAGCGATTTGTTAACTGCGGACCTGTTTCTGCGACTATCTCGCACCACCGACAGTATCTACCGCGCCGCTACGCGCATCGCCGATTAGGGGCTAAACTAGACGAGCAAATAAACTGGAGGAAATTGCAGGAAATGTGGTAGCTGCTGCTCATGAGTCCCAGTTATTTAGTTTAGCCCCCAATCAGCAGCGCGGGCATACTCTTGGCGGTGAGTTTAATCGGAAGAACACTATCGCTATTCTGCGTCGGAGCGCGTGGTCTCCCCGCCATGTTGCTTTTATCGTGTGCCGCGCTGTGTTCGTCAGGGGAAGTCCGCATTTTACACACGACTGAGGCTTTGTTAGGGTATTTGTTTGGCCGCCATAATATGGGGACGAAGTTCGAAGGAGGGCCGAAAATGTATACAGTACAAGGGGACTCGTGGCCCTGATGAAAGCTATCGTGCAGTCTGTATCTCACCGTGCAGCATACAGCTTTTTCTTTATTGAGTTTGGAACAGGTAGTTTTAATACTTCAACGCTGCTTTTCCTGAAGTGTTGATACTTCATCGCTGCCTTTCCCAAAGTTCTGATACTTCACTACTGTTTTTCCTGAAGTTTTGATACTTCACCGCTGCCTCTCCTGAAGTGGTGATACTTCACCGCTGCCTCTCCTGAAGTGTTGATACTTCACCGCTGCCTCTCCTGAAGTGGTGATACTTCACTGCTGCCTCTCCTGAAGTGGTGATACTTCACCGCTGCCTCTCCTGAAGTGGTGATACTTCACCGCTGCCTCTCCTAAAGTTCTAATACTTCACCGCTGCCTTTCCTGAAGTGTTGATACTTCACTGCTGCCTTTCCTGAAGTGTTGATACTTCACCGCTGCCTTTCCTAAAGTTCTGATACTTCACCGCTGCCTTTCCTAAAGTTCTGATACTTCACCGCTGCCTTTCCTGAAGTGTTGATACTTCACCGCTGCCTCTCCTGAAGTGTTGATACTTCACCGCTGCCTCTCCTAAAGTTCTAATACTTCACCGCTGCCTTTCCTGAAGTGTTGATACTTCACTGCTGCCTTTCCTGAAGTGTTGATACTTCACCGCTGCCTTTCCTAAAGTTCTGATACTTCACCGCTGCCTTTCCTAAAGTTCTGATACTTCACCGCTGCCTTTCCTGAAGTGTTGATACTTCACCGCTGCCTCTCCTGAAGTGTTGATACTTCACCGCTGCCTTTCCTAAAGTTCTGATACTTCACCGCTGCCTTTCTTGAAGTGTTGATACTTCACCGCTGCCTTTCCTAAAGTTCTGATACTTCACCGCTGCCTTTCCTAAAGTTCTGATACTTCACCGCTGCCTCTCCTAAAGTTCTGATACTTCACCACTGCCTCTCCTGAAGTGTTGATAATTCACCGCTGCCTTTACTAAAGTTCTGATACACCGCTGCCTTTCTTGAAGTGTTGATACTTCACCGCTGCCTTTCTTGAAGTGTTGATACTTCACCGCTGCCTCTCCTGAAGTGTTGATAATTCACCACTGCCTTTCCTAAAGTTCTGATACTTCACCACTGCCTTTCCTAAAGTTCTGATACTTCACCACTGCCTTTCCTAAAGTTCTGATACTTCACCACTGCCTTTCCTGAAGTGTTGATATGTCAACGTTGCCTTTTCTGAAGTTCTGATACTTCAACGATGCCTTTCCTAAAGCAGTTCTCAAATTGAGTTAACTTGCACTTGTGATAATCTGTTAAAAAAAACAATCTTTTTTTTTGTAAATTTAATTATAATATTTTAAAAGGCAAGATGGACATATAACCAGATTGTAACTGGTACCATTAGTATTGGAACTCTGCGCTGGCTGCTGAAGATATGGACGGAGTACACATTGCAATGCTGTGATGTCAATTCTTGAAGAGCTTTGTTCTTGTGTTAAGTGTACCGCCTCCACAACAGAGGCTGACTGCAACGCTTTTCATGGCTTTGAGAAAAATTATCTGAGGAGGCCGGAGTCTCTTGCACATCGCAACTCGTCCCAGTCTCTAAAAGCCACAAGAATGATCCATTTCCAAAACCACTCAACGCGGAAATCAAACACTGAAGGATCAAGAACCGGACGATTTCACAGATCTCTGAGCCAAAGAGGCAGCTGGAAATAAAAGGCCAGTTTTTGGCATGAGCTGGCTCAGGGCTCCTGCTCCAATGAAGAAAAAATGGCAGCAGAAGACAACAAGCCCGCCTGAGCTGTAGATAAAAGAAGCAGAAGACATCTACTTTCTATAAGATCTCTGTTCTTTTACTTCTGTCTTTGCCCTTTACAAGGGTGGCTATCTAGTTGTGTTGTGGCTTACAGTAAGGCTGTGGTATTTGCACCTTTAAACCCAATACATCCGATTTCAGCAAGTTGTACAACTTGCTTGTTGGGAGGGAGTGCCTCTACCCCCCCCCCCCCCCCCCCCCCCCCACCCCAGAACCCACACATTGCCCTAGTCTGTGTATATCGCAGTACTATTTGTTGATTGTCTCCTCTTGACTGATAGAACAAACAAGGGAGATAAGTAACAAATTAAAATATATTTGCAGTCATCTGTTACATCAATTTGTTATGTCCTTATGATATTTAATACATAATTCATTTCTATAAAAATTTTGGTTTTTTTCTTTGTAGACGCTTAGATACCATTCTAACCACATGCAGCAAAATATGCCAGGCACTATATTGTGCAATCTACTGGTTTTGTCTTCAATGTTTTAAAATTGTTTCCTTTAGATGTTATTTAACTGGATCTACTCTCACATGAGTATAGGCATCGTATTTCCCGTCCTCTTTTAGGATGAAATTTTTCGTTATTTTGAAGCCCTACTATGGCTTTTGCCAGGGGCCGAAATATAGCCTGGCCATAAATATGGCCTAAAGGCTGAACGAGGTTTCTGGGACCTCTCCACGGTGATCCTCATCCACATTGTGTCATCGGATGTTTATCGCTTGTGTGATGTCCTGGTGAGGTAGAAAGTCAGTCTCACATGAACAAGTCAACCCTGTTGTGGGATGCAATTTTTCGTTAGGGGCTGCAATTTAGCCCGGCTATAAATATGGTCATATAGCTGAAGGCGGTTTCTGGGACCTCTCCACGGGTGATCCTCATCCGCATGGTGGCACTTTATGCCATCGGGTGTTTTTCTCTTGTGTGATGTCCTAGTGGGGTAAAAATGTACTACTACTTCTTCTGCTCTCAGATTATTCACAAGTTTAGAAATGTAGCTTGCAACTGTAAAAGCTGTGAGAAAGATCCTGTGTGAGGCTGGATATGACATTATGAATGAAAACATGATCACATCCACCCGACCTGGATTACAAATAAAAGTAAAGTTCTCTTTTCTACGCCTTTAGGCATATAGGGCATATAAGGCTAGACTTTTATTTTTATTGACCAATCGGCACAAGATGGGTTATGTGGTCAGCATCACACTGGCTGCCTTTACTTCCCGGGACTGCACCCGGTACCCACTCAAAGCTGGGTCAGCCTGGGAGTCAAGGTCATTTTTTAAAAAAAGTTCTGCTCCACCAGGAAGCGAACCCACAATCTTCTGATCTGCACGCGAGGGTCAAGCTGCTACGCCACGGCGACTCCCTGCTGGAATTCAGGTTAATGCATAACTGCAGTGTGTCCTATTTATAACTGTGCTATACGACCGAATAATGTTTCTCAGATTTGTTCCTGGCTGACTCTCGTCCTTGAGGTGTTAGTCATACACTATAATATTCTCTGTGTGTGTCCCTGTGACCCATTTTGCAGGATACAAAAAACTGACCCACTGCTGCCGCATGAAGCATGTTTTAAAAGGCAACTAATTAGGGGTGTTTCCTTTAAAGTCGGAGTGCATCTGTCTGAGAGGCGAGGAACCAACAGTCTGCATACAGATAAGCCAGATCTGTAAAAAAAACAGATGTGCCTACAAAACTGAAGTTCTACAACAAGACCAAAGTCCAGAAGTGGATGAACAACCAGAACTTTCTGCCACACTGAATGTGAAGAAGAAGAAGTAAATAATACACTGTAACCTTAAAGGCGGAAAAAAAAATGGATGTTTAGGTCAAGAAGATCTCACCCAGCAGAGAATTCTAGCCACAAAATAAAACTAATGATAAACAAGACTACCACGATGGTTGAGGATCAATGTGACACTCGGAGATGACAGACAGAAACAGATCCTTTATAAAATAAATGAATCAGTCAATCAGAAATTGACATCATGTGCTCCAGCCCCTTCCTCAGCAGTCAAAAAAGTCAATATGCTAATAATACCAGTTGCAACCTGATTAATATCTGCCAGTTTCACCCTTAGTGTTGAAATGGTTCTTTATTAATATCTTACCCCAGATGACGTCACATGACAGTCCAACATTTTAGAGGGTGGTAAGACTGGGTTTCCCGGCTTTCTGATGCTTTAGACGACCCAAAAACATCTAGAACTGGCCCTAACCCCAACCCACCTACGTCCCACGAGAGAGTGCAGCCCAGGTCCCACGAATGCAAGCAGCCTAGGTCCCATGACTGTGTTCAGCCTATCTACCACCCCCTGATATATTAGATTGTCCCGTGACCTGTGGATTTCTCCTGTTTGGGGTAGGATATTAATAAATCACCGTATTGAATATCTTCCACATCCTCTTCTCGAACCCGTTGAATTAGTGTTTCAATGTATGGAATCTCTCTGTTCTATTGTGTCTGAGCCTTCACCACACCGCTTTTTCATACAGTAGCTCACCGCCCAGAGGAGCAGCAGCTCTTCCTTTATAGAATCAAGGACAAACATGCTTGTGTTTATGCTTTTTGTTTATCTATGATTTTAATTCACTTTTTGAATTAGTTTGTAAAACATGTGGCTTGCAATGCTTTATTCCTAAATATGCAGCAGCAGAATTTGCATATCAAACAGAACAACATGTCTTTCATCCACTCCAAGTAACGCTGATCACATAACTGGACCTCTCGGATCAATGGGCATGATACTCCTCTGGTCATCGGCTGACCCACATAACAGACAAGACATCTCATACACCTGAAAGAGATTTTCAATAGACCAGTTAGTAACATCTAACCCTGTTAACACGGTCTACATTACTTTAATAGATCTGTATCTGCATGTGGGTTCCGGGGCGCCATTTTGGAGATCATACAAAAGAATATACGCACTGCCCCCTTAACAAACATGTCGTAGGAGATGACTGATTAGGGGTTTCCTTCAAAGCTTTAATGCATCTGTCTGAGAAGCAAGGAACCAACAGTCTGCATACAAGTAAGCCAAATCTGTGAAACCAATGAACATGCAAAACTCAAGCTCTGGACCAAGACCAAAGTCCAGGAGTGGATGAACCACCAGAACTTTCTGCCCCAGTTTACAGCAGGTGAACAAAGAAAAAGAAGAAGAGGGTTTAAGCTGCAAGATAAGTTTAAGATTACCAAAGTCTTCTATAGTTAAGTTAAAGTTGAGAGGGCTGACTTCACTGCACTAGGTCTTTCTCATATGGTTCAGTCTCTGCCTGCATTGCACAAAGCATGAACTCCATAGCTCATACGACGATGCCAGGGACCTCTGAAAAACTGTACTTTTTGAACTGAACGACAAGTACATGAAATGAACCAAATACCTTCAGACAAACGACTTGATCATATTCGCCACAGAGACCCCAAATAAAAGTATCTTCAGGTGTCTAAGTGAAAAAGTGATACTGTTAATCACAACTCTCCAACACTCTTTGATATTTTTATGATGCTGTCTCTCTGGGTAGTCAGATCGGACGCCCGGGTGGATTGTAGCACACGTAAAAAATCCCTTGGCAGTGGGAAATCGAAAAAAAAGTAGAGTAACGGTGCTGCCCTGGGAAAAGAATTTGAGTTAGAAATCTACCCAAAGTATTTCAGGATCCTCGCTGGGGCTACACAGCCTGTGCACTGTGCTGAGCTTTTTCGGACTCCGACTTGAGTTAGAAGAAAAACGGAGCACTTATGGGTTACTAACCATGTGCCATGATGTTGATCCGTTGTTCAAAACCTTAAAACCTATGATGCTGTTTTGCTTATATTAGTAACTGTTGTCTAACTCTTTAGCCATTTATTTAAATAGGACCAAAAATCGCTTAAAAAACATCAGAAGCAGGTAGCGGGAGAGATAGAAACAATCAGATGTTTTGGCAACAGCCTTTATCAGCAAACACAACAAAATGGGGAAGACTGCTGGCCACAAGAGGCATTCTGAGCAGACACTAGACTGATTATATAGGGGAGCTCAGCCATGGTCTTCACCATAAGGAAGCTTGCTTAGGGCTTAAATTTGGTACAAAACGAGACTGCATGAGAGTCGCAGCCCGGGACAAATTTATACTTGATGAGACCATAAGCTAGATAAAGCCCTGAGGCCCCTACCTTTTTTTTTTTTTAATACACCAGTTATTTGTCAGAAAATTTAGAAATATATAAGTAATTAAAGTTGCAGTTTGTCACATATTGAGCCCATTATTTCATTGAGCTTAAACAGGTTACAAGTTGGAAAAAAACAAAAGCTTTAAAAATGATAAATATTTAAAATTTCTGGAGATTCTTTTCAATATTAAAAAAAAAAATTGCAATTTTGTTTGTTGTAAATGGAGGCCCTGCAGACAGTGTGGTCTTAAGCTGTAGCTAAGTTAGTTTATGTCTAAGTCCAGCACTGGTTGCAGCCATTTCCCAAGATGAAGGGAGACAAACAACAGGCAAGTCTTGTACCCATTTCTGCCCATAATCTCACTGGGTGTGTTGTGTGCCTGTCGGGATTAAAACAAGAAACTCCCAGTCCCCATTATCCAGACTACACAAGGGGTTCAAAGCTGGAATCAACCAAGATTCAGACCCACAAAAATAGTATCAATTTGGCGATCTTCACCTAAGTTTTTGTCAGAACTGTTTGCCCTTTTACAATATACTAAAGGTGCACACATGTATTCCTATTCCCCCCCCCCCCCCCCCCCCACCCAAAAAAAAAAGGTCAAAATGAGTAACTACTTCTCTGACAACTAAGCAGCTCAAAGTTACGTGAAACAGGAGCACAGCATCTTAAAAAAGAGAAGAAAAAAATTGTACATTCACAACAAGCAAACTTTTATTGTTGGCAAGCTGTGACGGGCACACCTGCCCGATGGTCACAATTTCCTGATACCCATCAACCTTTTCGCACCAAGAAGCCACAAAACCTACACTTCCAGATGGGTCAAATTCCCCATAAATGTCACTACAGAGACCACTTTATGCGACACACAGTTAACGCCACTGGCTGTTTTTATGTAAACATATGTTTAAAAGGTCAGGCTATGAATACATCAACTAAAAATAGCACTGGTGTGACAGGGAAGTCCTTTCAGCAAAACTGAATTTTAAAGCTAAGTTGATGTCAAATTTCCCCATAAGCCTCAGTGATAGAGTTCACGGACTCACTGCATAAGTCACCCGATACAAATGGATCTGTAGGCCCCAGGGAATGTATTATATTCAACGCTTCATCCTGTTCATGTTTACCGATTACTACCTCTATTTATCTTTATATATTAAAAAAAAAATTTCAAAACAAAAAGTACATTTGTTTCACATTTATTTGTGATCTTTGCATCGTTTTTTTCTTAGAAATTTTGTTCTGGAATTCCAGCAGGATCGTGACCCATCTTTCAGTATTCCCTGCGCGAGAAAATTTAGGCAAATTGTTTATATATATATATATATATATATATATATATATATATATATATATATATATATATATATATATATATATATATATATATATATATATATATATACACGAGTCTACCAAGCCCAAAAGAAGTACCAGGAAGTATTCAGCCAACACGACACTGACCACAACACTCACCAAGTGTCAAATGGTTTTTAAACATAAGGGCTTAGCAATATAATATAACTGTGCCTAAAGACCTATATACGAGATCTTGGCCTTTCTTTTATATAATCTCCTTGCCTTTCTATGAATGACTCATACACACACAAACCTGAATGCAGGCACACAAAGACATAAAACACAAAAAAGTTGACTGTTTACCTGAAATTCTCCATCAACTTTAAAGGTGTGCTCATGCTCTGCTACGAGATGTTCACAGAACACACAGATATCTGAGGAGACAGACACAGCTCAACAATGCATGACTGACGCTAATTACTTTTCTTATCTTTATCATGTGCCCTGCCAATTGACCTAGGCGCTCATGCATGTCCACAGATCGTGATCCCTGGTTGCCTGGAACAACTCTCTTGATGATATTCCTCCATGCCATCGTTTTAGCCCATCCAGCATTATCTCTGTTGGTCTGCCTCTACTCCTCTTTCCACTAATCTTTCCAGTTGTTATGTTTTCAAAGCCACAATTCTCATTACGCTGCCAAAAAACGGTGTTTGTCTCCTTCTTATTGTTGTATATAGAGATCTACTTTCTTTAACTTCTTTCAAACAATCATTGTTAGTTACTCTGCCGTCCAAGGTATTTGTAACATTCGTCTCAGAAATTGACTTTCTAGAGGTATTAAAAATGAAATGATGGATTGACTGACTGAGAGAAATCTTAACTGTAACAATGGCATGGAAAACTGACAGCACTATCTTACACAGGATACAATGGAATGGAGAACTGACAGCACCATCTTACACAGGATACAATGCAAAGGGGGACTGATAGTACTATCTTACACAGGATACAATAGAATGGAGAACTGACAGCACTATCTTACACAGGATACAATGGAATGGAGAACTGACAGCACCATTTTACACAGGATACTATGGAATGGAGAACTGACAGCAGTATCTTACACAGGATACAATGAAATGGAGAACTGAAAGCACTATCTTACACAGGATACAATGGAATGGAGAAATGACAGCACTATCTTACACAGGATACAATGCAATGGAGAACTGACAGCACTATCTTACATAGGATACAATGGAATGAAGAACTGACAGCACTATCTTACACAGGATACAATGGCATGGAGAACTGACAGCACTATCTTACACAGGATACAATGGAATGGAGAACTGACAGCACCATCTTACACAGGATACAATGTAATGGAGAACTGACAGCACCATCTTACACAGGATACAATGGAATGGAGAACTGACAGCACTATCTTACACAGGATACAATGGCATGGAGAACTGACAGCACTATCTTACACAGGATACAATGGAATGGAGAACTGACAGCACCATCTTACACAGGATACAATGGAATGGAGAACTGATAGCACTATCTTACACAGGATACAATGGAATGGAGAACTGATAGCACTATCTTACACAGGATACAATGGAATGGAGAACTGACAGGACCATCTTACACAGGATACAATGGAATGGAGAACTGACAGCACCATCTTACACAGGATACAATGGAATGGAGGACTGACAGCACTATCTTACACAGGATACAATGGAATGGAGAACTGACATCACTATCTTACACAGGATACAATGCAAAGGGGGACTGATAGCACTATCTTACACAGGATACAATGGAATGGAGAACTGACAGCACTATCTTACACAGGATACAATGGAATGGAGAACTGACAGCACTATCTTACACAGGATACAATGCAAAGGGGGACTGATAGCACTATCTTACACAGGATACAATGGAATGGAGGACTGACAGCACTATCTTTCACAGGATTCAATGGAATGGAGAACTGACAGCACTATCTTACACAGGATACAATGCAAAGGGGGACTGATAGCACTATCTTACACAGGATACAATGGAATGGAGAACTGACAGCACTATCTTACACAGGATACAATGGAATGGAGAACTGACAGCACCATCTTACACAGGATAAAATGCAAAGGGGGACTGACAGCACTTTCTTACACAGGATACAATGGAATGGAGAACTGACAGCACCATCTTACACAGGATACAATGGAATGGAGAACTGACAGCACTATGTTACACAGGATACAATGGAATGGAGAACTGACAGCACCATCTTACACAGGATACAATGGAATAGAGAACTGACAGCACTATCTTACACAGGATACAATGCAAAAGAGGACTGATAGCACTATCTTACACAGGATACAATGCAAAAGAGGACTGACAGCACTATCTTACACAGGATACATTGGAATGGAGAACTGACAGCACCATCTTACACAGGATACAATGCAATGGAGAACTGACAGCACCATCTTATACAGGATACAATGGAATGGAGAACTGACAGCACTATCTTACACAGGATACAATGCAAAAGAGAACTGACAGCACCATCTTACACAGGATACAATGGAATGGAGAACTGACAGCACCATCTTACACAGGATATAATGGAATGGAGAACTGACAGCACTATCTTACACAGGATACAATGCAAAGGAGGACTGATAGCACTATCTTACGCAGAATACAATAGAATGGAGGACTGCACAGCACTACCTAACACATAATGGCACAACAAGGTGATGAGGACCATACAATCTAGGTAAATATGATGGAAGCATATCATCATCTTCTTCTTTTTCTCGTTCACTGACTTTAAACTCTGGCAGAAAGTTCCGGGTGTACGCCCATCTCTAGACATTAGTCTTTTTCCCAGAACCTGAGTGTTTTTTGCATATCCATTTTACAAAACCAACTTATTTGTATTCAGACTTGTTATGGTATTCTTGTTGTCCCCACAATGGGGCCCCAGAAACCACGAATGAATGATGGAAGCATATGAGTCAGCTGGTGGTGATGTTTACAGACTGACTGTCATGTTGACTTTGCTTGTAGAATAATTTAGTCTACCGCTAGATTACCAGGAGCCGTGTGGTGTAGCGACTAGACCAGTGTTTTCAACCCGTGCCCAATATGCCCAGAGCATGGAATAATGTCTTTTACATAACTTTTCTGCTATATTATATTCATTTATTAATGTATTGTTTATTCTGTTTTGTTCTATTTGTATTGTTCCCCCGCTACCCCTCCTTATTTTAAAAGAAAAAAAAAACTATAAATATATATATACAAAAACCTACGCTGATAGTGAATCACTTCCTCGTCTTCTGCCTCCGTGCATGACCGGTTGGCCATCTTAAGATCCTGCGATCCACACTCAAAACATTTCAGAAAATTGATCATGTAAGAACCTTGGTCAACACACAAGGATTCCTGGTTAAAGAAAACAAAAATCATAAATGAATAAATAAAGTATATAGTTCTATTACCTTATAGAAAGATCAGAGATCTCTCTTCTAAATGTAGGGCATCCGGAGTTGACTATAATCAGGCTAAGGAGGAAAGAGCCAACTGTTGCTTCTGCTGTGATAAAATCCCTCAAGGTCTATAAGCTCTGCATGCTACATGACAGACAGAGAAACGCAGCAATAAATTGCCTAATGAAATCAAAAACAGCCAACAAAATTCAGCAGCTGTATCTGCAATGTTCTGTAAAGGACATGCAACTTCTTCGTTGCGCTTACCAGCTGTAAACTTTGGTAGAAAGTTCTGGTTGTTCGTCCACCCCCAAACTTTGGTCATGATCCAGAACTTGAGTTTTCCATGCATATTTATTTTACAAATCTGGCTTATTTGTATACAGACTGTTGGTTTCTTGCCTGTCAGGCGAATGCACTCAGACTGGAAAAAAACCGAATCAGTCTCCTCTTATAACATGCTTGTTCAGTGGTAGTGGTCTATATTTTTTTTTCCTCCACAATAAAGCTTGAAGAGCTCAACAGAATTTTCTGAATGGGAATGTTGCTCCACTGACTAGTATGGAACCAACAAATTATATCACTTTTTCTTTCTAAAAGTTAAAATCAAGAGGATGGACTTTATTGCACCAGGTTTTATCCCATATGGCTCAGTCTCTCTCTGTAGAATGGCTAGCCGCCTGCCAAGAGCACAAGATTTCCCTAAAAATTGTACTCGTGAATAAAAGGGCACAGCCATGAAATGAACCCATGGCCTTCGGTGCACGAGGCAAATGGCTTGATCACTTCGCCACTGACCATGTGTCAACTGACCCCAATTTTTAACTTACCTGTTATCCCAGTAGAGATAAAAAGACAATTATAAATGCAATGTTCATACCAACCTTGTGCTGTCAATGTCAGAATTGGAGATACACCAAAGGACATGAAATAAAACTAACCACCTCTGAAATTAGATGTTTGAGAAAGACAGTGAAAAAAACTAGAAGAGATGATGTGAGAAACAAAGAAATTACAAGAATTATTGGAACACAGCCTTTAACTGAATTACCTGAAAAACCAAAATTCTCATTTCTCTTTAACTCTTTGAGTCCCAAGGAACGCATCATACGCTCATAGATTCCTACTTAGAAGCCCAGTGAACGCATGATGCGTTCTCTCTTGACTACACCTTGGGCCTGTGATGTTAAACCTGCTGGGACTCAAAGAGTTAATTTGATATATTTTTTATATGTCCCTATACAACCAATACTTTTTCTTCATAAAAAGGTTTTAGCTTTGTCATGTTGCAGTAAAAAAAAATTTCAGTCTAAAATTAATGCTGTCCAAACCCCATAAATAATGTCGTCCCGAAAGAGTTATTGTGTGTCCTATCCAGCGCCACCGTCTTTTTCCTCATCACTTGATTCGTGGGGATTCAGGTTTAGACGAGGGATCAACATCATGGCACAAGGGTAGTAAGTACCCTAAGTGATCCGTTCTACTTCTGACTCTTAGCCTGAGTCCGAAAAATCTCAGCGCAGATCACGAACTCCGTAGCACCGGCGAGGATCCTGAAATACTTTAGATTTGTAACTCCAAATTTTGCCCGGGCTGCGCCGTTAGGCTACTCTTTTTCGACTTCCAACTGCCAAGGAATTTGTTATGTTACGTGCGCAACCATACACTTACTTCCCAGAGACCAGGGGAAGGGGATTTGTTTACCAATATCTGTTGACCTTTAGAAAGCAACGTCGATCTAAACTATTTAAAGTTTTAACTAAAATAATAATAATAACAACAACAAAAACCTGACATTTAATTAAAGTTTAATATTATAATCTTAACTAATAACTTTTTATTGTAACTGAAGGATGATTCACATTCAAATTAGCCACTTAGCCTTAGCTAGCAAGTTCTACTTGACTACTTCACTTCACCTACCCTGTCTGGGTACTCCTCCCTGACACAACGCTGGCACATCTTGTATAGACGGTGATACGACAACAATCTATCACAAAGTATACAATGTCACTGTCAGGAGGCTGGCGTATCAACCACAAATGTCATCTACCTCCCTGAGACTAGGGAGGTTGTCCGCCATCAACATACCCAGGCAGGGTTGCCAAATCCATATTTATAAAATCTGCAAAACACTGGCTAGAAATTGCCAAAAAATGCCAAGAGGAAACAAAATTTCATGTGGCTAGAATCACAGGAATATTTCCGCGTGTGTGTGTGCTGAGTGATTCTTTGAGCATGATCCGGCATGCTGGTTACGCAGAAAGTGGATTGAGTCATTACAAAACTCTCCTGTGTGTGCAGTTACCATCATATTTGTTTCAGCGAATGCAGGTGTTGTTGGTAATAAACGATCTGATAGACTGGCAGGTGCTGCATTAACTGAAGATGGCCAGCCCATGGATCACGCAGACATTGTCATTGCCCTTAGAGAGATAGGACATTCTGATTTTGGATTAGGATTTTGGAAGCAAGGTGTCCAGATCACTGCTAATAATACGAGACCTAGGAGTAGAGATCGGCACCGCCAAGCATGAGAAGCACACCGGAAGCAAAAAAAAATCTTGTCAACCGGCATAGGACTCACCCTATTAACTGCGCGACGCTGATGAATATGTTGAAAGGGGAATCTGAGCACCTATGGATGTGTCCGGAGTGCTGTGAAGATAATCCATCCCATAATTCAATTGCAGACTGATGCACATATCATAAGGAAAGCTCCCAGATCAAGGTCGTCCCTATCGTCTTCACTGAAAACACTGATTCAGTAAACAAGATCTTTAACATAGTAAAGATGCAGTAAAGTTATTGCAACTAAGAAACTGTTCTTTTTTCATATTCTAACTATTTCCCCAAGAAGTTGCAGCTGCGTTCTGTTTATATCTTTAGTTTTGATTGATGATACCAGAGACAACACACTCTCAATAATAACATTACTAACAGGCGTTATAAAACAAGACACATCAAAAGCTGCAAGCTCTTTAAATGACAGGTGCAGAACACACATAAGTGTCACTTTCAGTCCCTACTTTGTGCTTCCCCACTCCGGAATGGTTCCCACTGATTGTTACTCCGACTATCTGTACAGCTCGCTATCTAGACACGTCCATTGTATCCATAGACAGTCTCGTATGTGTTGACTCTCCTGTAAGTGATTGTTTTTCTGCTTTAGTTTCTGTCAACTCTTATTTTATTACACTGCGCTCCAGTTGACCCTTCAGGCAAACCAGTATCCTGAACTGTTATTCTGTTCTATTATGTTATCACAATCGACGTTTTTGCACGTTGGGCATTTCCCTGAGTGCTCAGTCCTCCCATGCAGCAGCAACCAAAGGTACCTCTAGTGATTGTTCCCATGAGCATCTGGTTATATTATTTCCTGTCTGTGCCTCAAAGACGGCATAGACGTGCTTCACCGAGCCTCTGTGACGCAATCGTGTCAGGGTCAGAGATTCAACACTAACCCTCAACTTAGTCCGTACAGCGGAGATGTCAGCTCTATTCATGCTTCACCCGTCTGCACTGGTACATTACTTGCCAGCTGGACAGCTCTTTCATTATTCACTGTTTATTTAAAGATAATTTTCATCACACATCGGACATGATCATGTCACAAAACGGTTTTGTCACTTGTCTAAACTATGGTCACTCCTAGTAATGTAAGACACGCTGAAATGGTATATTGTTACATTGGCGGCCTTGTATCGGTCTAGGCGGTACTCCGCAGCTCCAAGAACCACCTAACACCAGTGAGGGGATGAGGTAACTCAAGTACTTTGCTCCACAGAATTTCTACAGATATTACTAGGCACAATTTGGCGAGACTTCTGCGCCACTTGACTGCTCCCAGACTGGATAGGATCATTATCACAGTCAAAAACACAGTAAAAATAATCTGTTTGAAAAACAATACACACACTCAACCAAGTAATCGAAATAAACTATGACATTCCAGGCACCAACAAGGATAATGCATAATGAAATAAGCTCAAACCAATATAAGAAATCACACTGGACTGACCAAGAAGAACGACATACAGAAGAGACAGACACAAATAATCTCTCAATAGTCAAGAATGACTCCTGAACTACCACAATTCACAAGTCATTAATATATCATCTCTGCTCTGGTGAAGTGATAGGGCAAAGGTAAGCTTGAGCACTAGGTGTTAAGATGGCTGTGCCCTCAGTTTGCTAACGTTTTACTTATCTGGAACAGGAAGAACAGTAGTTGACAGGCTCCTCGCCTGTCCTTATGTGGATCTTTCCAGGCAGTTGACACTGGCACCAAACTAAGTATAACTGTTCATGGGGTTATGTGTCTTCTAGATCTCTGGGGATCTGGTACCCACTACTAGACTGTTATCAGTGTAGACATCCTTTAGTATACCCAGACTTGGTGTTGACGACATAGTTTAAAAGGTCAACTGGTACGGCACGGTGAAGGTAGCAGTTAGTGGCTGTCGGCAGTGATTACTTGGTATTGAGACACCAGATGCTGATGAAGTAACAACTGTCCTCTAGTTAGAGTGACCCTTCTTGTCACTGTCCAAGGGTTGCCCAGATGACTGGAACGATATAGAAATATGTACAAAATATGTACCTGGTGTTGGTAGCTAGTGGTTGGTGATGGCTTTGCCTTGTTGGATCAACTGGGTTGTGATCCTGAAGCAACTCCTAGTTAGGTTATAATGAATCTCACATCCCATACTCTCCTGAAATTCCCTCGGTGAATAGGGTGCATTTCAAAGCAGATGTATACAAATATTGACAGAGAATCTTTGCTGTCCGTCTTCTGGCTTGGGGGTTGCTTCTGGAGTGACGCAAAGATTCAACCAACTAGTTCCCAAACAAAAGCGAGAAATATTGATTGCGCCAAGATAAGCTGTGGTTCGATCACGAAAAATAGCTTCGCCACTAGGAAAAAACAATTATCTGTGAGTGAATTCACAATATAACTCACTCCCAGTAGATTTAGGATTGAATAAGGTTCAGTCTTCTATATCCTGAAATCTACGTGATAAAGAAGGACTATTTCCTTATGGTAGTGGAATAGTCCATATTCAAATCTAGATAATTAGCATAGAGGGTTACAGTGTATGGACTGGAACACTAGCATAGGGGGGGGGGGGGGGGGGGGGGTGTTGCTGGCTATGTGACTGACCATAAGGGCTCTGATCTCCTCTTGAGTATGTCCCAAACGTTTTTAAGGCTAACAGCTCCCTTTCCGTTCTGGCTGATGTAACGACTAGTTGCTCCCGCATTTGTTCCTTCATGCCCAGGTGTTTAGATCCAAATAATGAAGGTTAACTGCCACTTCAGAATTCTTTCTACCCAGTCGAAGCGTAGACTCCCAGTTGCGATGTTCTGAAGCATGTTCATGTAGCCTGTTCTGCTACCCATGAGTGCTTTGGAAGCAGCAGTTATCTCTGTGATCATGCTTGGCGTAGTTGTCTGGGAAGCACCGCTATCCTCTTTTATTGTTTTCCCCATCCTTTGTGCTATGAATGCCCATCAGTGTAAATGACGCCGTCTTCTGGGGGTAAATGCTGATCAATCAGTACCCTTGTCTCGGCGTCTACGGTGGCAGGTATCTAACTCCTGCAGTGCCTCCCCAGTGTTATGACAACCTTAGGCAAGTCGTGAATATTTACTTGTGCATTCGTCAATTCTTTTCCGTGACTGATCTCGTCAAGGTCACATACTGGGTCGATTAGATTTTCCGCCTCGGCCATCCAGGAGGAGCCTCTTTTGAGACGCATTCCTGTTATATTTAACCAGTATATGTTGTCTCTGAATGCGACACTGATGCTTTTATCCTTGTGGTTATTGTGCCAGATTGGGTTTCATTTGTTAAATCAACTGGGACTGAAAGAAAGAGGCAATAAAATGCATGTTCAAGTCATGCAGGATGTCGACGGGTGTGTTCTTTCATTTAGAGTTTCTGGAGAGAATTCGCTTGTAAAAAACATCCTCTCTCAAACCGTGAGGTATTTTAGACATGTTAAGAAGCACGGTGGTCTGGAGACAACGGCGATGGAGGGTACATTTTCAGGAAAACAAGGCCGAGGTCGACCACCACGAACGTGGATACCGGACATGGAAGATGCACTGGTGATGGAAGCACGCTGGATAACTGGCCAGAGAGAGAGAGTGAGGGAGAGAATGAGAGAGAGGGAGAGAGAGAGAGAAAGAGAGTGAGAGAGGGAGAGGGGGAGGAGAGAGAGAAAGAGAGTGAGAGAGGGGGAGAAGAGAGTGAGAGAGGGGGAGGAGAGAGAGAGAGAGGGGGGGGGGAGAGGGGGAGAGAGAGGGAGGGAGAGAGAGAGAGAGAGAGAGAGAGAGAGAGAGAGAGAGAGAGAGAGAGAGAGAGAGAGAGAGATTTTCACGCATGGCGTAAAGTGAGCGACATTATGTAAAGGTTCTACTGACTCACTGAAACAATGCCTTGCACAACAACCAAAGTGAGAAATAAATCTAGTCAGCTCTGCCAGTGACAAACTGGTAAAGCTACGTAAATACTGTGATGATTTTACTACTCGTGCTGCTGCTACTGCCATCACTACTACTACCACTACAACCACCAGTGTCACTACTGCAGTTACTACAACAACTAAGGCTGTTGCAGTTGCTACTACTATTACTGCAGCCAACCCCCCTTCCCTCTATCACCTACACCATCACTACAAAGGCTACTACTACTACTACTACTACTACTACTACTACTACTACTACTACTACTACTACTACTACTACTACTACTACTACTACTACTACTACCACCACCACACCACCACCACCATTACTGCTGCTACTACTACTATACTTTTACTACTATTATCACTACCACCACTACAACCACCTCCACTCCTTTAACGGCAACTACAACAACTGCTTCTACTGGGTTAGTTAGTTGCGAATCCTTTAGAGAACGTTGCAGAACCAACAACAAATAGCCCCTGGCTGTTGAACACAAATAGCCCCTGGCTGTTGTGTGGTTTTTCAAGGCAATTTACGTCCAGTAGTTTGCCATTGCCCCTGGACGGTCGGCTTTCTTGATATCACTTTCGAAACCAACCCAAGGTGCATGGCCCGCACTTGGGATCAAACCCGGCATCGCGGCATTCCGAAGCGTTCGCATCGACTTAGCCACAGAGCCAACTACTGCTTCTACTACTAGAAAAAAAAATTATAGACCTGTATAGAGAAAGACAACATCGCTTACCCTGTTTTGTTATTATTGACTGTGTTACGGGAAATGGTCTGCCTGAAGGACAAGCTTGAATTTCAGTCGGAGTAAACATCGACTGTCAGCGTGCATCACGTGAAGAAACTAACTATTTTAACAATTTTTGATTGGCCCTGAGTGTGTCAGAGATTTCAGGTTCCAGTAACAAGTGTGTGAACATCACCACAGATATACGTCTTTTTTGACGAGAGAGCATTAGGAAATATTTCATTCGGTGTTAGGGCCGTTGTGTTGGGCCAGACATTGTTTGGGCAGTTCATGCAGAGGTCGTCAAACAACTCTTGCCCTGACTTATAACGTTTCTTGTAAGCTGCTAATTTAAGGTCACTTTCGCGATGGGATCTGAGGTCAGTTGTCCGTTAAGTCCAGAGTTCCGATCCTTCTCTTCAGCAGATGAAGCGTCTCGAGCAAAAAAAAAGAACTCCCATAATATTGGACGGCCGATGCTTAACCTGGTAAGATGCACAAGTTTTTTTTTCTTTCATAAAAATAATAATAATATTAATAACAATCCCATAAGGCCGTTTGTCGTTGAGTGAACAGCTCCGCTTGCCTGGCAAATTCTCGCCTCCTATTTTGGTCAATTACAGTGGATTTTTCGGTGTTCGTGGCTTTGGCGTTGCGAACCAACTTTGCAGTAACAAGGTGCCGGGTTCGATCCCAGCTGGATGGAGTTTGAATAAATAGCAATGGCAAACTGCTGAACTTAAATTTGTCTAGAAAAACCACAACAGTAACAACAGCTGTTGTTGATTCTGCAACGCCTGTTGATGCCAGGCTAATGACTCTTTTTAAAATCAAATTTCGTTATGTTGGAAAGGAGAAAAGGGATTGGGAAAAAATGGAGGGGGAGGGCGTGGAGGTCATATACTCTAAGGGAAGGGGGGGGGGTGGGGTGGTGGAGGTCTTGTCATTTACTCTAAAGGGTGGGGAATGGAGGCCTTGTCATATACTCTAAGGGTGTGTGGA